GACAATGTATTTTTAGAATTTTACAATTTTTTTTATATTTTGTATCTCACATTAAATTATGTTCTACAAAAAATATCAATATGTCTTTAACAGAACAGCAAATATGTAGACACAAGCATGAGGAATAAGGATTTTTCATGAAGCTTGGCCCCCACTGCAGAACAGATTGGGAGCTTTAGTACAATGTCAAATGCAACTTGCAGTCCATGGACTGAGGCTGTAGTGCGTGGCTCATAGCAGGTCCACGGAAGCCACTCTATTTACACCTGAAATTCTAATGGTAAGAGTGATTTGTAGTCCATGAAAAATTCATGGCAATCCACAGAAAATTTGGGGAGTCTCCTGGGGCCCCCTTAGCCTAAAAAAAAAAAACCCCAGCTTCGGAATCACTATTCTTCTTTAAGACTGTCAGCTTCAAAGCAATCCCCACCCAACATCTCAAATATCTGAGAAATTATTTCTCTTGATTTAAAATATGGTAAAACTTTATCTTTAGAATCCTAACAAGTCATACTGTCACCTATCAAATATGAAGCACAGAAAAAAAAACTTTGCATGAAATTAATCTCTGAATCTTACCTATCTTTGCTAATGTAAACATTATACTAGTTGGCAGAGAGGGAATACCATCTCTTCCTTTTTCTCAGAAATTGCTATTTTACAGAAGAAAACAAAATACATTTACAGCACCTGACTTCATATTTTTTGGCCAGACATCAGATTTGAAAGCCCAAAGACATCAGAATAAGACAGATGCAAATACATCGATGTCAAATACACCAAAAGCTGACTGAGTACATAAAAGGGGCTAATAGTTCTATAGCGATAGCTATTAAACAGTCTATTCTATGAAGAGGCTGTTTAGGCCTTTACAGTCAGTTCGATGCTCGATAATGGCCTAGAGGTATGATTATCTCATGATATCTTACTCTTGCCTTTTTCTTTCTGCTTAATTGTGTTTCAAAAAATTGTATTAGGAGCTTTGAACAATGACAGTAAGAGAACTTCTGTATATCAGTTTACATAATATTAATCTTCCCTGACACTCACTACTCAACTGAAAATATTCCCACATTTCCGTAAGGTAGAAGCTTGAAGAATGGCCTCTTTATCAGGTATTTTATTCAGCAAGGAAGTTCACTAGTAAACTTTACTGGCATTTTTCTTACCTATACAAAATGTGCTTTCAGTTGCAAAGATACTGTTTGAGTTCTAATCATACATATTGGCTAGAAAGAGATAACCGAAATTTTTAGCCATGGAAGTTATTTATCAAACAAGAAGAGACTCACTGAGCAAAAATAACAGAAAACTTAAGTTTCTAACAGAAATGTATTGCTATTTCTGCCTCTGGAAAGGAAATAACAATTCTGGTTTGCCCTCCTCTTCTTCTCCAAAGATTTTATCTTTTTTTTTTTTTTTTTTTTCCTATTCTACAGGCTCTAATTTTAACTAACATACACTCTGAGGACAAAACACAAAGGATATTTTGACAGCAGACAGGCTGTAAGTGGCATTTAGTCTATTTTCAGCATGAATTTAGTCTTTTCATTTTATGTAAACTGTGGCATAAATTAATCAAATTACATTTTTATTACATTAGCATCTCAAAGTTTTAATCAAGTAAAAAAAAAAAAAAAGGCTGTGACATTGTAAGGTCCCAAACCTGCCAGTTATTTAATGCAGATGGATACTGTCATCCACCTGCAAAGACTGATGGTCACATCAAGATTTTACTTGCTTGGTTTTCCTTCATATCAGTGTGGAGAAAGACAGTGAAATTGTAATGAAACATTAATGACAGTTGTGCACTGTGGTGAACCCAACATAATGTTTTTAAACAAATGTTTTTCGCAAGTCTTTCAGCTGAGAGAGGTATCAGACCAGTGACTTTGAGATTACATTCATGCATCCCACAAAGAGACACTTGGCTGGTTAGAGCACCACTTTTCAAGATTTGAACAACTGAGTTCAGATGACCACAGACTCCTTAAAAAGCTTCCCTTCACATCAATACTAAATCCACAAAATAACCAAGGCACCCAGCTGTCACTTAGCTAACTTCAAAATGCAGACCTTCAGATATTCTTCTCCATGACTACCTAAAGTGGAAGTGCCCTAATGTAAACAGACCTAACAACATCTACTGGCATGGTTGACCAGGTGCCTGACAGTTTTTCCTGGGCATGTGTAGAACCTGCTAACCTCTCACCTGAAAAGAAGCAAAGGCTCTTCTTCACCATTAGGTGGCCAGTATGGAACAAAGGTAGCACATTAAGTACCTGATTCTTAAGTGTAGTTCTTATAACAACTGTCCATACTCCCCCCTCCCCCTTAAATATTTTCATGTTCACTAGTCAAGCTCCTGTGATAACGGAAGTTCCTGCAAATTCTGCTCACGATCAGACCTGCATCCCTCCTGGTTAGTGATCCAGGATCCATCTCAAAATTAAGCTGTACTTAGATCCACCAGTAATGCAGGCTTTCCCACAAGTCTCCAAGAGACCCAGGCTTGTAGGCAGACTCAGTGCCCAGCTGAGAAGTTTGTTCAGGTAAAAGTTAGAGGCAGCCCTTTACCTCCAACAAAACATAGAAACAGCAGGTCTGCCTGCAGTCTTGTAGGTAGTAACTCAATGGTTACAGCATTTGCCCAGGAAACAGAAGAACCCTACCTGCATGCAAAGAGGCTCAAATCCACATCTGACCCTTGCTAGGACAGTAATTTATTCTATAGGGAAGGTTTGGGATGGGACAGACAGGGCAGGTGGCCTCTGCATGCCTCCTCTTGAAGTTGTGCCGCTCTCAGACAAGAAAGTTTCATGGAGCCAGAGAGAAAGCAAACAATGCAAAGTTTGTATGGGGAAGACAGAAGAAACCTCGTGCAGGGGAAGAAAAAGGAGTAGGATTTTATCTGAATGATTAAAATGCTCATCTGGGGTGGATACTGATCACTGGTTTGCTGTGCTAACAGAGGTGCCAGTTTACATTCTGTACTGGAAAAGAAGAAACTGAGCTTGACATACATCCCACTGGCACAGGTGCTAAAAACGTAAAGTTTGGATGCCACTTCATCTTTTTGGCTACGTTACAAGAAAGGACTGATCTGACTTATGTGTCTAACTGTAGAAAATGGTCATTGCAGAGAACCCCACTTGAAATAACCTGAAACTACATGCCTCACAAATTCATATCCAGAGTGACTTACCTAGAGCCCTGAGACAGCTTTTGAATCCTGATGGTACTCACAATAAATTTACTGGCACGGGGATTACGTCTGCAACAATGTTTTAAGCAAGTATCAAGAATTAGACAAGAAGCAGTAACTAGCAGTGATAAGAAACAATTTCTAGAGTTATCCCTTCATTGCAACTATGTGACTATTGTTTCAGGCTGAATCAGATCGGTTTAGCTCCACTGAGGGTAATTTAATGTAGGGTTCAGAAAACTTTCAGGGAGAGTGGGCCAACCTGTTATTTTCTTTCCAAACACTTGCAGGTGCTGTGCTGGTAGCAACTCAGCATGAGCCAAGACATACTGTTTCTCACTGAGACAGGAACCTGTGAATTATCAGCAATATATCCACCTCTTTGTGAAGCAGGGACTTTCATTGAGTTCAGAACTCCACGGGAACAAAGGTGGTGTGGTTCCTACCGACTAGCTTTGCTGGGCAACATTCAAAGTCTCTGTGCTACAAATTACTAATTCCGAGTTTATGCTAATCTGTTTGTACCCACCCTAGAACGTCTTAGTAGTATACCCAGTCAGGCGGCACATCTCAGCTGAGGTAGAACAATAGCCGTGTTTTGCACCCACGCTGTGCGCTAACCCGTGGGATGACAGGCCCGGCTCCACCGTGCCACCCTGTGAACTGCAGCCCAGGCATGCTCTAGAGCCAGCTGCATGTGCTGTAAGGTCAGCGAGGGTATTAGCGCAGGCTTGAGGCTTACTTCACTATCCCCACAGACAGATCCTAAGCCTCCTAAAGCAGGGCTTAGATGGGAGTTTAGACAGAGATCAGCAGTATTTCGTTCCTCGAAACCGCTACGCAGCGGCTACTTCACACCGAAGACTTTTTTGTTTCTCTACGTTAAAGGCCTCCGGGCCCCTAGAGTTCGGCCTGGGCAGAGATCGACAGTCATGTCCCGACGAAGACGAAAGCCGCGTCACGACCCAGGCCGCGGGCCCGCCGTAGGGAGCGCGGC